CCCTAATTATGGTTATTTTAATATGATATTTGGGCAGCGTAACAATTAAGTACAGTGCATATCCTAAATCTTGTGTAGCATAACTACTATGTACTTATAGTTTTATAGGGATTTGACCCTTATAACATCTAGGTAATACTTAATGCTAGATTATCGAGCATCATATCTTTTAGAAATAGATCATAGCTTAAATGGGAAAATGTCACTATGACCCAACAAACTAACACCTTTTGTTTTAAAAGATCTCTGATCTTTTTTTTTTTTTTTTGCATCTTAGGGTTGTAAACTTGATTTTAACTTTAGGTAACTTACCTCCTACTATCGGTTTCCCATGCCATATATAAATAATATCAAATGATGTGGCTTGCTTATTTCCACCACTGATTCCCTTTTCCTGCTGACATTAGGACCCACAGTTTAAATCACTTCATCAAAATTCAACTATCACCTATGGTTACTGTACTCTTCTATTCACCTTCATCTCTGGAACTCTCCTTAACCACCCAGCCACCACCACAGGTAATACACTTCTGCCCCCAACCAGTTTATCAACCACCGACAGATCGATACCATTGATTATGCATCCATTACACATAATCGTTTATGATTTGGGATAGACTTCAGTTCTAGCCCTAGTTTTACCAGATCTGAAGGACGGAAACAATGACGGCGATGCTTATTGATCTGCCACAGACGAGAGTCATGGTTGTTGATTCGCTACAAAACGAAGACGACGATTGTTGTGATCCACCACAGACAAAAACCACAGTGGCGCTGGTTATTGGTCCGCCACAGACAACAGCGATGGTTTTTGATCCGCTACAGACGAAGGTGGCGATGGTTGTTAATCCGCCACATATGGTGGTCGCTAAGAACCTAGTCATGGTCATAGGACAAGTATTGAAAGGTTGGTTTTTGTTTCACCCCTTAACTTCCAAACAACATGATTATTGGTTTGATTTTTGTTAGATACAGTGGTGGTTTGGATTAATGTTTGATTGCAGATGATCTCAATTTTTTTTTGGGCTTGTTAGTGTTTTGGGTTTATTAGATTTTCAATATGTGTTCACAGTGATCAATGGACGGTGGTGGGAGAGGTAGGTGTCCGATGGTGGTGACTTGAAATCTTTCATGTAGGTGTAGATTGATTCCACTACAAATCTTTCACGTCCTTTCCATATAATCATTTATGATTCAGGATTTTGCTACAGATTGATTCCGGATAGTGGGAATTACCAAGTTGCAATGTCTCTACTACCATTAATGTTTTGTTTATTGTTGTTAGCTTCTGGTGGTTGTATATGGTGGTTGTATAGGGTGGCTTCAGTGGCTATGGACGGTGATGGAGAAATCATTTAATGAAATGGATATTCTACTTGCTGACTGGACTTCTTACCGGTAACAAGTTCAGAAATTTAAAAATAAGGACCTTTTAAAACTTAAAAATCAGTATACACTCCTAGGATAACAAAAAAAAAAGATAAGGGACCTTTTAAAACAGAATGTGTTAGTTTATTGGGTCACAATGATATTTTCCCTAGCTGAAATCTAGGCATAGTATCTACAGTTATACTATCCTAATGCATTTTACTTATAACATCTAAGTATTATCTATTCGTAGACTATCATAACTCTTAGGCACAATATCATAGCTTACACCTATGCATAATGTCTATAGCTAGGTAATCCTAAGGCATCTAGCCTTATAAGATGTTTTGATATTTATAACATAAACATTTTTATAAAACCATTTGATAAGCATATATTCCCCCTATAGTTTATAAAACGATAGAAAAAAGGGTCGTGAAATCATTTGTAAAGTGTGAAACCACTGAAGTAGGGTAGAATCGGGACTTGGGACTTGAAGATCGCATCGGGATCACCCGAGCTCGAGAACTAACTTACTAATAGCTAAAATGTATAACTGAAGAAGTGTCCTAGGCTTCTTATGAGAATGTTCATAGCAAGGACGAGAGAATAGAGAATTTGAATGTGTGGGACGAAATAAGGGGCAACAACCCTCTTTTTATACTGGAGGTGCGCGCCGTGCAAGGGCCTCGTGGCTCCATCCTCCTTTCGGCAGATGTCTGAATGTTGCTGGTGCATGATACCTCCTTCTAGAAGCAGGTGTGCACTGCACATACCTCTTGCGTTGGGCGCTTCTCGCAAAAACTTCAAAAATATGTATCTCGTTCATACGAGCTCCGTTTTTGACGTTCTTTATATCCATGCGTAGCTCTTAACGGGTACTACAACTTTCTTTTTGGTCGTTTTGGCCGGTTTTGACTTTCAATTTTGAGCCCAACGGGGGTAGGAATTAATGATTTTATAAAAATCATAACTTACTCATATGGATCCCGTATTCGACAAACTTTTTCCTAAAGTTTATATCTCGAGGAGTACTACGAAACTCTTTTGTGCACTTTTAGCTAAAACTCAACCAATCGCTAAGTACCGTTTTGACGTAATTAATTTTAAGTACGCGACAGATTTTTATATCTTAGAAAATTCATATCTCCTTCATATGAACTCGGATTTTTACGAAATTTATATTTTTGGTATCGGGAAGACACGTAATTTCAAAATATATAATAAAATATATATGTTTCAGCGCACTTATTTTAACGACGTATGGACGATTTGGTTGGTTTTTACTATTTATTTTAATATGAAACTTTATATATTTTTATGATATGTTGATATATATAACATATTTAGCCTATTAAAATCGGCGTTGACCACTTTTCGTTAATAACGATGATTGCCAAAAGTCGCAATTGTTACAAAGTTCAAGAGAAGAAATGCAAGAGAAGATGCATTTTGTCCAAAAGGGTAAAATGGGGAATTTTATGCTTTTTTGGCAGAGTTTGTGACTTAATAGATTAAGACCCATATTAAGTCAATGAGAAGTGACTTAATAGAGTTGTAGAACTCATCCCTACCTTCATGTGGATATAAAGATCATAGAAGATGGGTTTGAAACTAAGAAGTTATATGCATGAGAAGATTGGAAGAAAATGTCCCAAAGCTTCCATATTGAATCAACTATGAAGGTTGTTGTTAGACAGCCACCGCGATGTGGTAGCTCTATTATCACAACGTGGTGAGGGTGACGATGATTTAGTTAAGGAGTCTCATCGTCAGTGGAAGGTAGCGTACTTTACACCACGACATTGCATATGGGTGCCCGCAACACGGTGGAAAAAGTAGGTTGCTATGTGAGAGAAGCACCACAAACTCGGTTAGAGGCTGATCACGGGTTCATTAGACGCACCACAACGCAGTAAACATCTCACCACGATGCTTTTTCACATTCAAAGTATATAAATTAAAAGAGTTTAAGGGCTCATTCTCATACCAAATCCTTCCCCAATCGATGGAGAGCTGTCATGGGTCGATTTTGGTGCCAAGATGATGCCAAGAAAAACTACAGATGGTAGATTACTATGATTATCATCCTCTCCACATTAAGGTAAATATTTCTCCATTTTATTAAGCTTTGAGCTTTAATAGTGAATGTGTTAGTTTGGTTAGAATGCTTGGTTTGATCAACCTATAGCTTAAGTATGATGTTTTTGAGAGTGTATATAAGCTTTTACCAAGATTTGGAAGTGATTTTCATGGTGAAATCAATCCATTTAGAGTTAAGTCTTGAAACCCTAACTAGTGAAGTCATGATTGATGCATTAAATATTAGAGTATAATGAATTAGCTATAACAAGATACTTAATTTGTTGGTTGGAGTAGATTTAGAGGTAGAAAATGAAAATATAGAATGTTGATCCCTTGAGTGGTCATTTTGACATAGAGAGTCGATAAGCTCTTAATAGTCTAAGACAAGTTTTAAGAAACTTGATATGTTGTATGAACAGACCTTGAGCAAAGAAGATGAATCAAGATGCATCAATGGAAGAATTAAAAAAAGAGTAGTTAGTCTTCCCTAACTAACAATGTGAGTTATAGGTCTCACTATCTCTCTAGATAATGTTATATTATTATGTATAAATATATTTTTATGCATGTATGTATGGTTAGATGTAGGCGGAGATAGACTATGGTTATACATTGAAAATCATGTATCTAAGCATGTTCGTATAACTAGAGTATGAATGAAATTATATGTTTAAAATCATGTATCCGAGCATATACATATAACTAGAGTATGAATGAAACTATACATTTAAAATCATGTATCTGAGCATGTATGTATAACTAGAGTATGAATGAAATTATACGTTTAAAATCATGTATCTGAGCATATACATGTATTTAGAGTATATATGAGATTATAAGATTGAAATCATGTATCTGAGCATGTACGTATAATCATATTATATGTAAGATAAAGAGAGGGATTAAGTACTTAGTGCTTTAAGTACTAGATGAGTAGTAGATCTCTCGATGAGACAAATAGATAGAATGTCCATGGGACAAGAGTTATGAAAGACTATGGTAAGACCATAGCAAGTGTTGAGAAAGATAATGAGAATGGTAGAAAGATAATTCCTTCAGGAATAAGATAGAGGTTCATATGGGAATGAAAGTATGATTCCTTCAAGAATAAGATTATGATTCCTTCGGGAGTGTAGATAGATGATTCCTACGAGAACGAGATTGTAATGGTTAGAAGAGATAGAGGAAGGGTTTTACAAATGGAACAAGATAAGAGAGTTCTTTAAAAGAAGTTAGATATAATTCATGAATGATTAAGAGTAAGGAATCCATGAGAGATTCAAGGGAAGAAGAATTTGAAACGATTCGTGACGGATCAAAGGAATATGATTAAGTCCAAATGAGTGTACTCGGTAATGATAATGCAATTTCGTTCCCCTATGTATGTATGTATGTATGTATGTATGTATGTATATATATATATATATATATATATATATATATATATAT